GACAAATAAGTGACTTTAGTCAGTGAATTTAAATTTGATCCATCAATAAATGTGACCATTTATTTACATAATGAAAAACATCACTACAGTACAATGAACTTCTAAAGGCCGATGTGGCGCATTCTTTGTGGGTTTCTATCCTCCGCCGCTCTTCTTGTTTCGTCTGTGCCACACTTTTTGTGGTGTTCCGCCACACGTCTTGATTGTTATCAGGTGAGGCAAGAAACCACCAACACACACTCCAACACACACACACACACACGCCTGCATGTTATGCCTGGAGCTACTCTCTGCAGCGGGCTTCTGTGGAGCGGTGATGCATATAGATGACATTTGCTTGTTCAGAGCGTTGCCACCAGGCAGCTGTGTGTTTTCTTGCTTTTATTTTTTATCATTTGGATTCTTTTCTGTAAGAATGGTTATTATTTCCAGGTGTTAAATGTCACTTTTCCCCCCCCTGAGTAACGTTTAACCTGGTTTGTGCTCGACATGCTGAARCTCAGCAGATCACACGCTGATCCCTCCAACCCAGCTTCAGACCTTATGATCAAGCGTGCTGCAGGGTTTCACAGTGTTATTAGATTGGTGTGTTTGTGCAGATGTATGCGCCTGCATCAGTTTTCTGTTACTGCTCCCTCTGGCCCAGTTGCTTCCTGCTGTTTCCTTCCTGCTTGAACAGGGTCAACGGGGTGATCTTCGGTCTTCCGTGTKGCCCAGAGGTCTGGTGAGGGGGTGGGCCGCCTGGGAATGGGGGGGCACCTGAAATCACTCCTGCTTGCACTCTGCAGGACACGGCGGCTTCAGAGACAGGAAGCTGTAATTAGGACTTGAGGAGGTTTAGCGCCAYCCTCCCTCTCTCTGCAGCTCTTTCTCTGTTGACAGAAATGCTCCTCGCATTAAGAGACCAGACCTCGTAATTACATGTGGTCGGGAGGATTGTGGTCCTCGGATGTGAGGCAATTTAATGCCTCATTTATTCACCTTTTTGTTACGTGTTTTACGCACTCAGTCAATGAGTCTACCATTTTTGCACACCAGAGTATTCAAAGCTGTTGTTTAAAAAACCAAAAGCCAWGCTGATGATGTAAGTGATATTTAGAAATGATTGTGCTTATTATTTGCAACAGAGTGGAAAAAAACAAGTTTTGATTTTGAAAAGCGTTGAGAAGCAGAGCCTGCAGAGCCTGTTTCTGTGTTGATAGTTGTCTGTTGAGGAAAAAACCAAAGTAGGTAAAAAGGAGCATGTTTGGAGATTGTATTTATTCTATATGTTATATATTTGGAGATATGTAAGTATCACTGATACTTGCATATGACACAAATGATTGTAATGAATGTTTGTTGAAAAAAAGATCATTTGTCCAAGCTGGTGTAAAATTATTTGGCTTTGGACTTTGTGGCTGGGGTTGAATCCTTTAGCCTTACAAATTTTTCACTTTATTTTATGGACATTTGCAATARCAAAACTGTTATGCTATAGCAAATATATCTAGATATGTATTTATAAATTATTACTGCCTTAACATTGTTGCATTCAGTACAAGCAAACTAGTATTTTCTACCACTTATGTGAATCCCTTGCTTTAAAGGGCACCTATTATGCAAAACTCACTTTTTTCATGTTTTTAAACTTACTTCTGGGTCTCTACTGCTTAGAGAAGCAGTCCAAACACAAATAAATAAATAAATAAATAAAATGCAACCAGCCATTTTTAGCTGTAATTACATGTATTTTTAGGTATCTGGAAACATGGTTTTTCTCAAGGCACGTTATTCTGACGTCACAATAACAGTCACCTAGCAACCTAAACCAGAGCCCTCCTCCACACGAGGCAACCCGAGGTGAAGCTCCGCCCACTTCTTCATGGGACGATAGTTGTTCTGTTTTTACAGCAGCCATGGAGAACAGAGATGTCTGGATTAATGTTATTTTTATTTTTGATGACTATGTTCTAACAATATTTCCAAAGAAAGTTGTAGAAAAATATTAATAATGATAAAAATAATAATATAATATAATGACAATAATTTCACTTTGGAAACTTCTACCATGTCGGGGGGTGGAGTTAATGTAAACAAACGGTTGTGAGGGGGTTTCCAAAGCAACTTCTGCATACAGCAATCTGGAGAGAGCTAACAACAGGAAGAACTGAAAAGGTGAAATTTCATTATTTAAGATWCTTTTTGTCAGTTAGATCAAATGAACATGTTTCGTAAAGCCCACAGATGGATAATAACTTGTGCTAGGACCCCCCTTATAGGTCGCCTTTAACACTCTTTTCACAACAAGTACTGCTTGGTCATTTGCAGGCATTAACATATACAGTATTAGGTTGTGTTTTCAACAGAAATCTTTAAGTAAAATGTATTAACAAAAATGTGTTAATAGTTATTGAAGTAATTTAAATTTCCAGCTCTTCAAAGATTTAAATCAAAGATTTTTAATTAAATTGCTCAGGAGCTGGACACCCTTGGTGTGGGTTGGGATGTGTGAAGTACTGCAGTATGTAACAGAACAAGTATTGTTATCTTTTGCCCTTTAAATGTGTTTATTTTGTTCCACTGAATTGTAAATTTTAATTTCCAAAATATTTACAACATTAAGACAACCTTTCTAAAGATACGTTGTTCGTCCAAATAAAATTTGTTACAAAAAAAGGCAGCTCCTTTTTATTCTCAACATTTCCTGTATTTTTTTTGATGCGATCCAAAAACAAAACCCAGGCAAACTGGAATCAAAATGAACTTTGT